CCCCCCCAACCCTCAGCTTCCCCCCGGCCCCCTTAGCCCCCCCTCACACTGCTCCTCCTTGGTATAGTAGTACTCCTTGTCGATCACCACCTGCCCGTCCGCACTGTGCGCCAGCAGCTCGAAGGAATTCATCACCTCGATGCTGCGGCCCTCCTGGCGCCCAATCAGAGCCCCGATCACTGGGAGGGGGGGGCAGGGGGAGCAGTGAGACCCCCATAAGGCACCACGACCCCCCCCCCAACCCAGACCCCCTCCCCATTAGGGGCCACATGGAGCCCTTTGGGTTATTGCACCTCCTGTCCACTAGGGGGAGCCCTTTGGGGGGGAGGGGGCACTGCACCTCCTGTCCACTAGGGGGAGCCCTTTGGGAGCCCAAAGGCGATGCAAAAAGGACCATTGGGGTTTTTTGGGGCCACTGGTGTTGAGAGGGGATGCAGTGTGACCCCCATAGGGCATTAGGACCCCCCCCCTTGGGGGGTACATGGAGCTCCATGGGGGCACTGGGGAGGCCCAGGGGATGCAGAAGGACCACTGGGGTACTTTGGGGTCATTCTGGACCCACATTTGGGGTCAGCAATGGGGATGTCTGTCACTGCCAAGGGCTGATGTGGGGCTCTCTGGGGGGCTGTAGGGTGGCCACAAGGCAGCTATGGGGCACTATGGGGCAACTATTAGCATTACGGGGCAACTATAGAGCACTTTGGGGTTACTATGGGGCGCTATGGGGCAGCTATGCGGTCACTATGGGACACTATGGGATCTCTATGGCGTTCTATAGGACACTAGGGTGCTATGGGGCAGTACGGGGCAGCTATGGGGTGTAATGGGATCACTACAAAGCTCTATGGGGTCACTACAGGGTCACTATGGGGTTCCTATGGGGTCACTTTGGGGTCACTATGGGGTTACCATGAGGTTACTACGAGGTTACTATGGGGTCACTGTGGGGTCACTATGGGGTCATACTGAGGTCACTGTGGAGTTACTATGGGGTCACCGTGGGGTCACCGTGGGGTCACGTGGGGCTCTATGGGGTCTCACCCTGCCCGGGCCGCCCCTCCTGGCAGCGCATTCGGATCCAGTGGTCGGAGATGTTGAGGATCACCAGGGGGTGCAGAGCCACCGCCACGCTGCCGGGGACGCCCCCCGCCATCACCGGCGGCACTGCGGGAGGGGGCGGGGTCAGGGGAGGGGCAGAGCCAATGGGAACCGGGGATGGTGGGGGGGCGGGGCCAGGATTTGGGGGCATGGCGGTGTGGTTGGGGGGCACGGTGAGAAGGGGAGGGGCTAAGAGGGGGTTCCGGCCAATGGGGGCGCAGGGATGAAAAGGGGGCGGGGCTACGGTGAAAAGGGGGCGTGGCGAAAGCGGGTGTGGTAGAATTGGGGGCGGGGTCCGAATGGGGTGCAGTCTGCGGGAGGTGGGCGGGGCATAGAGAAAGGGGCGGGGCTCCGGGCGTAGTGGGCGGGGCTTCGGGCGGGGTCGTGGCCACGAGGCCGAAGGGCGGAGCGCATCGCTCGGGCCGGGCCTGCTCGGCTTCCGGGTCCAACAGATGGGCCCGAATTGCAGCCGCGCGTCCGAGAGGCGGGACGTGAGCCCGTACCTGCCGCGTCCACCTCCATCCCGGCGCCGTTAGTTCCCGCGGCCGCCGCTCCTCCTCCTCCCACCGCCGCCGCCATCGCCGCCGGACGGCGCCGAACTGCGCGTGCGCGAGCCGGAAGGGGCGTGGCTTCGTGCGGCGCGCATGCGCAGAAGGAATCCGGGCTGGCCGCGCATGTGCATTGAGCGCGAATCGGACCGCGCATGTGCAGATCGAGCCGGCTCAATTGGGACGCACCCCCCCATCTAACCTTTGACCTCAGGGTGACCCGGAAGCCTCGAAGCGCGCCCTGACCTCTGACCCCCAGATGACCCCTACGATCCCTTTTGGGCCTCAGCAACTTCGCCAGGCCCCATTTTGGGGTAATCCGGTCCAGTTTTGCTCCCCAAATCCCCCCCCCCCCATAAAAAAAACATCGCTGCCATTTTGGGGTGAAATTCAGCGTTTATTGGGGAGGGGGGGCGGGGCCCCGCAGCAGCCATAGGGGCAGCAGGAAGGGGTTGAGGGGGCAAAGCCCCATCGCCTTCCACGGGGATTTGGGGGGGGGGCTGTGGGGGCGGGGGGGGCTCTGGGGGGCGCTGAGGGAGCTGTAGGAGCCCCGCAGGTGGCGGCGCAGGGGGGAGATGTGGGGCAGCGCCTGCAGCTGGGGGGGCAGCGAGGCCAGCAGGGCCAGCAGCACGGCAGCCTCTGGGAGGGGGGCAGAAATACATGGGGTCAGGGCATCCTCACAGCCCCCCTCT